GGAAACAAAGAAGACTCCATTTGGCGCTCATCTTTGAATGTACTTTTCATCGGTTGATCGCTTTTCTCAACTGTTTTGCTTAATATAACATTTCTAAAGATAGCTTTTATTGTGGTTCAATGGGAAAACGAGAATAGCGTGAGTGTTGTAAAAGAGAAGAAAGTCGTTGGCGCCGTGGAGTTAAAAGAAGGGACAACAGTTGACATATGGACCGGTACAAACAAGGGTCGAGTGGCCATCTGTAAAGCTACGATTTGAAAGTTTGTGGTGAGTAAAAATTGCGATATTCGTTGTGATCAAAATCTTATAAAAGAATAGATGTAGCGGGTTGAATTAAGCTTACATAACGCTCGGCGCAACTGAAACTAGAATAATTCTGAGAATCGAATCGGTCACTTGCATGCCGCAGTTTCTTAAGCTTATGCTTTACAATGAAATAAACCTATCAGTAAGGTTTCAAGATTCCTCTAGTCACGTTTGGGAACATTCAAGATTCATAACAAACCTTAGTACATAAAGAAGCCCTCCTTGGTAAAAACAAAATAATGTATTCAGCCCTTTTTTAGTAAAATCCATGAGAGAAATGTACTAACTCCATAACAGAGATTTCTCAATTTGAGAATCCAATGAATGCCCTTTTCCTCATAGCCATCTTAAAAGCCTGGTCTGAGCTTTAAACATGCATATTTTAATGTATTATTTTTTTTCAAATTCAGATGTCAAGGAATCCAGATACAAAATGGTCAAGGTTCTTGTTGACAACCTCATTCAAGGCCGACTCATTGTGAGCCCAGGAAAAAAAATACAAACAGTACAAACAGCAGCTAAGTTTGCAGTTTAGGATAACTTCATTCTAATTTATTGTTACATTTACAACAAGATTTTAATCAAAAAATCAATTTTATTTGTTTGTAATTAGCCCCTTCACTCCCAAGAATATAACTATATAAATATAACTTAAGATATTGTATTTTATGGAAAAGAATCAACAGATTTTATTCACAATTTGTGTCAAACCAAATTTAATGATTGATTAGAACTATTTTATATGAATAGCTGTAATTGAGGATTAATCCGTATGAAGTTTTCAAGAAAAGAAAAATAAATCAAATTCCATCCTAATATTACCACACATTGATGTTAATAATTAATCAAAAATATTTTACATGTAAGCCTTAATTAAGCTTCTAAATAAATTTCATTGAATACTTGAATTTTAGATGGTTTTTTTTAATTTTAAGTATTTATTTTATATCATTAGCCTCAAATTTTTGCTTAAAATTCCCAGTAATTCTTAAGCATTCCTAAAAATTCCCAAAAATTCCCAGAAATTCCCAGAAATTCCCAGAAATTCCCAGAAATTCCTAGGAATTTTTTAGATTTACAGCTTTTCAGGGAAAGTCATTGGTTCTCTGAGTTGGAATTCCTAGGAATTCCAAGGAATTCCAAGTCCTGTTGGCTATAAACTTGGAATTTCTGGGAATTTCTAGGAATTTCTAGGTTTTTAGAACCAGAGTTGTTATGGTTGGGAATTCCTAGGAATTCCTAGGAATTCCCAGTCCGAATTTACCGTGAAAATTCACACCTTTATTCCTAGGAATTCCTAGGAATAAATTCCTAGGAATTCCTAGGAATTCCAAAAGCCATTTTGCAAGGGATTATCCAGCAAACAGGTGATGAGAATGCTTCTCAATTAGAATTTTGGTTTATTTATAAGGAAATAAGTAGCAGCTAGAAGAGAGAATTAACAGCCATATCTTGGAATTTAAAGGGTTGAGTTAATTTTACATATTGGAAGTTTGGGGTCAGTTGGCTTATAGCAAGGATATTGGTTACAGCCAAATACATTGTAAATGTGGTAACTCCAAATTCTCTGAGGTAATTGACATGGAATAACGTACATTGAACAGTTGGAGTGGCTCATAAAAAATCAAATGTTTGGAGAGGATGGCAAAAGGTTTATATGTACAGTATGTAGGCACAAGAATTTGTACTATCATTTTTTGTTAGTGTTGGTGTTTCATAGTTTCGTGTTAGGTGTTTATTTTCTCGTCTTCCATTAGTGTCCTTTGTCAGTTACCAGTTTTGTACTTGTTATATTTCTTTGCATATCGTATATATATTGGTTGCGCGTAATTTATTTGGTTAGTTGTCTAGTTTGTGAAAATTACCGTTACATATCTAGCTCTGGGTTTCATGTTTTCGTCTTTGGGTTGGTCACATTCGTCTTTTACCGTATTCAACAATGTGTCAAGTTTGTTCTAGTAAAGTTTGAAATACGTGTGATTAGCGTTTGCGGCTATACAGTAAACTCGTGATTAATGTCAAAATTAATTTATGACATGTGAATTTTAAAGAAAGAATTTATGAAGCATTTTGAAGCCTGATTTGCCTCCTATTATGAAACCATCTTTTTTGTGTTCCCTTTTTGTTTCTGATTTTGATATAAATATTGTCCTTTAGATGTAAAATGGTGACCTTCGAGTCTTTTTCTGCACAGTTTCTAAACCAGAACCGCGATCATTGGGAAGGGACTGCAGTTGTTAATGGAGAGTTCAAATATTTGAAGATGACTGATTCTAGAGGTAAGTTTTTTTCTGTGAGCTCATAGATACAGCTGTAACTTGGAAAACTGAGAGCCATATGTGAAGGCCAATCACAGGTTTGTAAAGATCTTGTATGTGGCTACTGGTAATTCTGCCAGGAGCAGTTTGAAACTTTAATGCTTATAAATATTTTCCTTTTTGTATGTGCTATTATATAAACAGAGACCTCTGCCTGAGCTTGAATGAACACATATTTGTCAGTGCATGGGCATTGCCTGTTTGGAGATGCAGGAGGCAGATTCAGTCAAGTGACCTGTTGTGACCAAATACATCTAATGAAACATTGGTTAAAAATATTATTATCTCTTTCAAAAACCTTCCCCTTGCTCAATTTTTGGCATGTTTCTGTGATGTTTCTCATTATCTGTTAATGATTTGTCTTCTTCCAGTTTTTGTTCCCGTAATGGACATAACATCCATGGATTAAATACACTCTCAGACCAGGTCTGATCAGGTTGCTATACTTTGCTTCCTTCATGCTATATAACAGGTCTGATAGTTAGGCAGGGGAGATTTGGTCAAGGTGAGAATATTCTTACTTCTATGACCACTTTTATTGCATGCCTATTGTTCTATTTCAGGGGTCTATTTATAATCGATGACAAAGGGACTCTACGACAGATCACAATGAATGATCTACCAGTATGTTGTAACTTTACTTGTATGACTGTAATTGTACCGTGAATTTCTACTGCGAGTTTTATGTAGCTGTTTGCTTCTACAGTTAATTGTTCTTGATACGCTGAGAAAATTTATCTGTCCATTCGTATAATTTGATTCGAGTCTGGCCCTCGTCCACTGTCACGTGGTAAAAATCTCAAGCTCATTGTTTAAGTGTTAAGCAGTGGGGATCCCTTTCCTTTTATTTTGTGACGTTTTTATTATTTCATTAGAAAAATAGTGATATTTCGATTTTGATTTGGACAAGGGAGAAAAAAAGCTTAGTAGATAGTATCAAGAAAAAAGGCTCCTGGTGTCCAGTCTCCTGATTTTTTTGCGGTTCGCGGTCTTTGGCTTTATAAAGTGTGAAGTACTATTTATAACTTAGCTACTCAAAGAAGTTAATCTAAACTGGTTATTTCGCAGGTGGGCCGATCAGTCGACGAGACTTTACGTTTAGTCCAGGCTTTCCAATATACTGACAAACACGGGGAAGTTTGTCCGGCCGGTTGGAAGCCTGGTAAAGAGACGATCATACCTGATCCAACAGAAAAGAAGAAATACTTTGCAAAACAGACTGAAGGAGAAGATGAGGAAGAGAAGAAATAAACTGAACAAACTTTGGAATTGGAAAAAAAAACTGAGAGTTGTCTTAATTTAGGTGGCATTGTTTTACTCTGCATCCAGAAAAGTTACCAACGATTTGTAAGAAAACCTTTGGCGAGAATCGAGAAACAAATCTAACTTAAAGATAGATCTATGTAGTAGTCTCTTTAGTTGTTTTGTAGTGACGTTAAAGGCCTGCAATTTTCTGTGCGCGTAGGATTGAGGTGGAGTAATGGTGAGGTGATTCCCTTGTTTTGTTCCTCCGATGAGTATGGCTATAGTGAATTATTAGACTTCTTGCTATTTAAAAATCACCTCACATACTCTGGTCAGTTACTCCACGAGTTCACTCTGAAACCAATTCTTTAACCCGCTCTCTTGCTATACATTTCCTACACTGCTGACAACGAGGATTTTGGCGATCATTCCCTTAATTCTCATGACCTAAATACTTGGCTCGGCTTGATACTGAAGGGAGACTTTACATGATAGTAGCTCCGAGGGGTTAAAGAGTTGAAATGTTTCCCTAAGTCTAGGTGAGCAAGTCAATAGAACAAATTGTCAGTAAACAATTTTCAGTTTGGAATCGAAAAGCATTCGCTGTTCAGGAAATGAGCCCGCGCCCCTACCCTGAAATTTCGATAAGTGTCGGAAATCTAGCCCCGCTTATTTGGTGTGAAACATGTGAACCAGTGGTGAGCAAAAATACTTGGCTGCAATTTAAAAGCACAGTCATGGTCGCTAGCGGAATGTATCCTATTTAACAGGGTGGTAGGAAAAACACGGAGATTTCGTTTTAGACTTAATGACCTTTTAAGCTGACCGTTCTTTCACTCGAACCAGCTCCCCTCCTCCAAGTGAAATAGACGTGTGGTGTGGGTCTTATCCTTGTTATTTAACAGCCTGTTTAATTAATTGGGCAAAAGGAAAGATTTAGAAAGAGTGAAGGGGTGTAACAATAAGAATTTCATAGTGTTCTAGTTTTCGTTCTTTCAGAAGTTCTTTTTACACTAAATTTGCAATATCAAGCAGAAGAGTGATAATCTAAAAACATCGCCTGCTTTTTCACTCAATTTTCCGAGCGAAAACTGCGTGAAATAAGCAAAAACAGTAAGAAGAACTGAAACGAAGATCTGAAATGGATTTTAATTGGATTATGTACCAAGTAAATATCAATGGACTCCGTTTTTTCCACAGTTCATGATTTATGCCTGCTCTAGTCTTTTTGGATAGTACATTTCTTCCAAGCTGGCAAAGGCTTCAAGATTAAAAAATTAAGTTATCAATCCAGTGAGTCAAAATGTATCAAATGCATGTCCAAATGCATGTAAAAAAAGCAATCATATGTACAACGTACAACAAGTTAAAAATTCAAAGGTAAGATATGCCAAACACCAAAGGTTAAACTTGGTCTTAGGTGATGCTTGGAGCCATGAAATTGAAATACACAACTCACATGGCCATAAAGTTTCGTATTTAACTTATGATTTAGAAAACATCGCTGTATAATCCTTACGAAGACCATGTGAGATTAATTAAAAGGTTTTCTCGGCATAACTTGTCTTAAACATGGCCGCAACACCACTCAATCTCCGCAAAAAATCTCCTTTTAAAACTAAACCATTTGACTTGGCAGTTTATTATTAAATGATATGGTAACAAATCGCTTATTTGATTATAGCCTCAATGCGGGTTATTTAATGATTCAACCAGTTCAATTCAACGCCGCGTAACATTAAATTTGTCACCCCGCATGCCTCTGGTTGTTTTGATTGTCATTAGTCAGTACCAAACGCCTGGGGTCTCCTCTTGTCTTCAAACAAATCCATCAGTGATGACCTACAAGAAAAGTATAAGAGCCGCAAAATTGAATGTTTTTCTTGAATTCCTCGAAAAATAAATTTAAGTGCCATGCTTTATTACAAAAGAAAAACTGCGAGTCTCGGCATTAACAACAGGCAGTGCAATAAGTCAACGAGAAACGTATTTTTCTGTTTTGTGTTATCCTTGCGCACCCTCTACCTCGGCTGCAGGAACGCAATGAAGATAAAAGACATGAAATTGAGTTTGACCTCAAGGAACAAAAAGGTGATAATTAACATCTCACTTTTCGTTGATTGAGCAAAATTAAAGGCATACTTACGATGGATACCTTTTAATTTCCGTTAATTCCAGTTTCACGTCGTCCCCAATGAGTACAAATGGCGCCCAGTAATACCCTTTGCTGAACGTTTCAGACTCTCTCATGCACTTCATGGCTTGATTGACAGCTTCACTAGTACCCTTGCCTTCTTCCAGCGCTCCGTAGAAATGTTTCATGAACTCCTGAGTACCATCGTCATCAATGGCCCACAGGGATACCAGAACCGATCGAGCACCGGCACCTAAGAACGCTCGCGCAATGCCAACCACACCTTCGGCCATAACCTCACCGCAAGCGCTGTGACAGCAACTTAGCACAACCAGTTTCGCTCGCAGCCCGGCTCGTAACACGTCTCTCATTGTCAGTAGATAGTCTTCCTCTTCAGCTTGACAGGTTGTCCTACTTGTGTTTGGTGCCAAGAGAATCTCTCCTGTTTCTTTTTTACCATGCGCTGCAATGTGAACCAACGCAACTGAGGAAATTCGTCTAAATACCTCTTCCTTTGTCGCCTCCCCTCCAACGAGAGGAGCAATACCGAGGATTCCTCCAATCATCTTCACCTCTTTCCTTGCACCCGGCAGCTGATTCAACAAATCACCCTGATAAAGGACTTGCTTGTAACATGGATCACCCACGAGCAGTGCACCGGTTTTATTGTGCAATTCTGTCGGGCAGTCTGAGATTGATTTTAAAATGGTTAGGGATGGAATTACTCGAATCCTGAAAGATTCGCACAGATACCTTGAATTCGAATCCACCAATGCTGCATAGGGCACCAAGCAAAGTGGACCTTCAGGAACAAATACAAGCTCATCTCCATCAATCAGATCTGCGATAGGAGCAACTATGATATCATAAAGCTTCCGCAGGGCATTAGTCGTCGCGTTTCGCGGAGAACCATCGCTCGTTCCTTTTTCATCTCGGCCCACTTGAGTTGAACTTTTTTCCCATTCAACAGCAGCCCTTGCACTAACTTGCAAGGAAGCAGCCTTATTCAAAGAGGTAATGTAAACTTCTAATTCACGTTGGTAAAGAAAGTTGTTCACATGCTTTATTCTCGATTGAACGACTTCCCCGTTCCGAATAGTCCACAAAGCAATGTAAGGTCCAGTAATTGCTAGGAAAACTACATCTGATGAAACGTTTCTTAATGAAAGACAATCAGAGCATTTCCTAGAGTTCGACCACGTGAGGGTTTGTCGAAAGCTATACTTTAAATCCACGATATCTCTTAGAGCTTGTGCACGTCCCTCCTCGGCAGCGAGAAGAGCTTTAACGTGTTCACCCTTCAGTAAAAGTACGCGCCAAACACCATTGTATGCTGTTTTGCAAACATTTCGATACGAAATCTTCCAGTTATCGTGCAACAGAAAACTAGCCCGAACGTTATTAAAAATCTCTCTACTAGAAATATAATAGTCGAGGGCGGTTTGGAGACATTCCTGCCTTTCAAAATTTGTAGCAAGACGACAAAGGGCCTGGGCAATCCCATTCTTGTCTCCCACTTCTTTAACAATTTCTAGATGTTGTTTATGGTACTCGATGGCTGTTTTGAACTGTCCTAGACCATCATAAGCATTGCCAAGGTTGCCATAACTCCTTCCTTCTCCAGCCTTGTCTCCCACTTCTTTGGCAATTTCTAGATGTTGTTTATGGTAGTCGATGGCTGTTTTGAACTGTCCTAGACAATGATAAGCATTGCCATAAACTCCTTCCTTCTCCAGCACTTCTTTGCAATTTCTAGATGGTTTATGGTAGTCGATGGCTGTTTTGAACTGTCCTAAACTACCATAAGCACAGCCAAGGTTGCCATAACTCTTCCTTCTCCAGCCTTGTCTCCCACTTCTTTGGCAATTTCTAGATGTTGTTTATGGTAGTCGATGGCTGTTTTGAACTGTCCTAGACAACGATAATCACTGCCAAGGTTGCCATAACTCGCTCCTTCTCCAGCCTTGTCTCCCACTTCTTTGGCAATTTCTAGATGTTGTTTATGGTAGTCGATGGCTGTTTTGAACTGTCCTAAACTACCATAAGCACTGCCAAGGTTGCCATAACTCGTTCCTTCTCCAGCCTTGTCTCCCACTTCTTTGGCAATTTCTAGATGTTGTTTATGGTAGTCGATGGCTGTTTTGAACTGTCCTAATCTACCATAAGCACTGCCAAGGTTGCCATAACTCCTTCCTTCTCCAGCCTTGTCTCCCACTTCTTTGGCAATTTCTAGATGTTGTTTATGGTAGTCGATGGCTGTTTTGAACTGTCCTAGACTACGATAAGCAGTGCCAAGATTGCCATAACTCCCTCCTTCTCCAGCCTTGTCTCCCACTTCTTTGGCAATTTCTAGATGTTGTTTATGGTAGTCGATGGCTGTTTTGAACTGTCCTAGACAATGATAAGCACTGCCAAGGTTGCCATAACTCGTTCCTTCTCCAGCCTTGTCTCCCACTTCTTTGGCAATTTCTAGATGTTGTTTATGGTAGTCGATGGCTGTTTTGAACTGTCCTAGACAATGATAATCACTGCCAAGGTTGCCATAACTCGTTCCTTCTCCAGCCTTGTCTCCCACTTCTTTGGCAATTTCTAGATGTTGTTTATGGTAGTCGATGGCTGTTTTGAACTGTCCTAGACAATGATAAGCACTGCCAAGGTTGCCATAACTCCTTCCTTCTCCAGCCTTGTCTCCCACTTCTTTGGCAATTTCTAGATGTTGTTTATGGTAGTCGATGGCTGTTTTGAACTGTCCTAGACTACGATAAGCACTGCCAAGGTTGCCATAACTAAGCACTGCCAAGGTTTATGGTAGTCGATGGCATAACTCCTTCCTTAAGCTCCAGCCTTGTCTCCCTCCAGCCTTGTCTTTGGCAATTTCTAGATGTTGTTTATGGTAGTCGATGGCTGATAACTCCTTCCTTCTCCAGCCTTGTCTCCCACTTCTTTGGCAATTTCTAGATCTTGTTTATGGTAGTCGATGGCTGTTTTGAACTGTCCTAGACAATGATAAGCACTGCCAAGGTTGCCATAACTCCTTCCTTCTCCAGCCTTGTCTCCCACTTCTTTGGCAATTTCTAGATGTTGTTTATGGTAGTCGATGGCTGTTTTGAACTGTCCTAGACAATGATAAGCACTGCCAAGGTTGCCATAACTCGTTCCTTCTCCAGCCTTGTCTCCCACTTCTTTGGCAATTTCTAGATGTTGTTTATGGTAGTCGATGGCTGTTTTGAACTGTCCTAGACAATGATAAGCACTGCCAAGGTTGCCATAACTCGTTCCTTCTCCAGCCTTGTCTCCCACTTCTTTGGCAATTTCTAGATCTTGTTTATGGTAGTCGATGGCTGTTTTGAACTGTCCTAGACAATGATAATCACTGCCAAGGTTGCCATAACT